CATTCCACTGACAGGAGTCGAACCCAGGCCTTCCGCGCGACAGTCAAGCGCGATAACCACTCGGTCACGCACGCGGTCGCTCGCCGACGAGCGTGGCAATATCACGGTCATCTCTTTAAAAGAGTTAGGGCTGATGCAAGCAATTTTGTTCCTGAATTTTCGCCAATATATTTGGGGCGACTCATGGCTTCTTTTTCCATTTCTAACCGTGACCGTCTTTTAGAAAAATACGCAGTGGTAATAGATTTAAACGTACTAATAAACTTGTCATGTCCGCTACTCACGCACTGTTTCAAAACTACAGGGCTCCAGTCAGTTTCCATGATTATTTTGAAAACATCACAGTAGTCACAGATTGCAAAGTGAAATGTTTACTAGCACCACTAGATAATTTGTGAGTTTTAAAACAAAAAAACATTATTGGTAAATGGTCGCTTATGTCTCTACTTATTGGACCCGCACTGCCAACAGTGTTTATATTTGGATTGAAAACATCGATAGCAGTTGATGTAGAATAGGCAATTCTCGTTGGAACACGGAATGGCATTAACAAATCCGCTACTAGAGTGCCATTAAGTCGCGACGAAACAGATGAGGTCTCTAAAGTATTTAAAGACCTCATCTAGGATTGTCACCATTGGCACGAAGACAAAAATTTGCGCTTCAAGTTGTTATACAATATATATCACAATATAACTTTCATTGATGGCTCATCTTATTTATTGCATCCAAATTATATCTCAAAAAGAAAAGACCGCATTCGAATGACAAGGGAACACCGCACTAAAACTGAATTTGGCAAAAACTCTTTTTTTTGTTATGACTATTAAGGAGTGGTATGACCTGCCTAGGGAGATTGTGTGTGCCGCAAAATCAGAAATATTTTTCTCAGGTGTATTCGCCCCCCTGCGATAATGCCTGAGGCCGCTACAGGAGCATGATGATTAAAGAATGAAGAGCACAAAAAATCAAATGAATTCTGAGCCCAAGGTTGTGATCCTTCTGGTTTGAACCATTTCCACTGTCCCCGGAAAATACCATTCTAATATTTACACGTTCGTGGGGCTAATTAAGTAGGACAAGGCCATGAACACTCACATATTTCTTAATATGAAGGTTACAACAGCAAGCTGAATCTCGTTTCTGAACTTGACACTGTACTACTGTGGAATATTACTTCTGAAAATTGTATTTTAATAGTGTCTACGATTCATGTAAAAAACGCGCAACGATTGTGTAGACCTGGAAGGCTTCGAATTTACTCAGAATCATAATAAGGAAAACGGTGCGTCCCAGGAAAAGGTAACGGTACGGCAATTGCGTAATGGAGTATTTGGGAAGGACTTTCCTTACTCAGGGAAAACAGCCTGTGCCAGCAAGGAAAACAGGAGGACAAAGCTAAAAAGCATACAACACATGTGCGAGTTAAATCGCAAGAAATGTATAACATGGGGACACCATACCAACATTAGTGAAACAATTGTAAATAGGCTGCTCTGAAATCTCAAATACGGCTTTCAAATAGGCGCAATTTGTTTTATTTTTTTAATGCGATTTATTCTAAGTGCTTAGTTCCGTGCTACTTCCGGTTGGTTTTCAAACGTTCCCCTTGTTAAAAGTCTTATTTCTATGAGAAATATTGTGGTCCAATAAACTGATATGATCAGAAAAATTATAAAAGAACATATAAGAACCGTTCAAGAGTATGTAAGTTATAAGATATTAATGAATTGTCTTATAATGTTTTTACCTGTTATTTCATAATCTTATATGAACATATGCACTTGTTGGACCAAAACATGTCTTATAAATATCAAATGTTTCACTGGGCTGTTCTAACGAGAAACGTTCAGTTAAAAAGGGCACGCTTCGAATTTCGATTAACGTCTTGAAATACTTCAGTAGGGGTTGCTATTGAAAGAAACGTGCGATCACTTACTTTACTGGCTTACATCGTGTTATATTATTATTCTCCTTCGACATGTATAGTTCACCCATTAAAGCAGTGCTTTCTCGTTCTTACGTTAGATGCAATTAAAGCTATACTATAGGAATTCGTTATCAGAATAAAACAAAACAAGAGATACGTAGAGTACATAGATGTACTTACCACACATGTGACAGAGGAGCCTGCATTCTGTCTTAACTTCCGATCTCGATCGGCGTGCAATGTATGCTGCTTCGATGTGTACATTTCAACCGAGTATCTCTGTACCGAGCCAACGGTGCGATTTATTTTAAACCGAACCAAAAAAAGACGACACCCGAAAGACCCTTTAACTCTGAAGAGAAACAAAACTGCCGCCGCTCCGCGGTCAAAAGTCCAAGACGTTTCTAAACCTCATTTTATACCTGGTGGCCTACAATATGGAAAAGCATTGGACTTCCGAGTCATGCATATGAAGGTTTGCGTTCACTATCTTCCGATTCCTTGACGTTCACGAGACTTCCAAGCATTGGCGAGGGAGCCTTCATGCGAACCCAATCATTGGCGAGGGTTCACGTGTTCATTAAACTACAGAGACAAAGCAAGCATTCGGAGCTTAGCTGCTTTTTTCGCCCCTCACCAGCCACACCTTTTGTTATCCCACACACATCTTTTGTATCTTCGTGTGGAATTTAGTGAACGTGACGGCTGCTACAGGGAACTCAGTTGCACGGATCGGAACACGTGACAGCTCCTCGCCAGACAAAATCGCTTGTACGAAAATTTGTCCCTTCACTCGCTCTGACGTGCTGACGGGTTCACTGAGGCCCTAGCCGTTGGATAAGTCATGGCGGAGCGTAGATGGCGACGTAGGAGCGGTTTGCGAAATGCGTTATTTGGTGTTCTACTTTTTACGCTGCAGTCTCAGCCGTGGTTTTTCTTCGTAAGTGGAGCTTCGTTCAAGCCAATTCATTTCTATTATTTTAAATTACGGCTTTTCAAACGAGGTGCTTCATACAACATATTTCTCACTTAACAACTCCGCCTCCTCAAGTGGAAGTTTACTGCACCGAGCCAGTGGGATCCAATCAACTATGGATGTTGTTTATTTTTTTTATTTTTTATATGGCCATGGTCCTTTTCTTCGTCGGAGTCCAGGCATCTATTGCGCCGTGTTTGGTGGACGCGCTTCGGCAAAAACTGCTCATAGGCGACAGTGAGACTTCTCTTGAAAGTGGGCGACCTTATTCAATCTCCACTTTGTGTTTGCGTTGTTTCGGTGCTGCCCGAGTTGGCAGCACATAAATTGTATCATGTAATTCGATTAAGGATTGTATATTACTGTTGCTTTGTTCGTAAGTAGTCTGCACGCATGCTTGCAATAGTAGCCCCAATTCCTTCTCAGTCTCCACAGTCCTTCGTGATTGATTTATGGGTTTTTCTGGCATGAGAATGGTGTAATTTTAATAATCGATTTGTTTTGCACTCCACGGGGAAGTTTTCATTTTGCAATTCTGTGCCGAATAAGCTGTGTGTAATGATATTACTGCAATCAATTTCTGCGAGCGATCGAAAGCACTTTATTATGTTGGCGTATGCGATTGACGCGCAACGATTTGTATGCAACACCCCATAGATTACGAGACGGAATGTCTAACGAGATGGAAAATCCAATAATGAATATTTAGGCACGTTGGACATTTAGGCACGTTGGACATTTCGTCTCGGTTGGACCTTCCGTCTCTTTGGACATTCAGGCTCGTTGGACATTCCGTGTCAGTAGGATCTTTCGTCTCAATGGACATTCAGGCACGCTGGACATTCTGTATCGCTTCTGACGTGCTAGAATAATTTGCCTATTTAAATATACAGACTTGTGTGTATTAATCCGCGTTCCTGCAGTCATTGCCGTATTTTCGTCATACTAAAATGTCGTGCCACTGAAACCGACGTTGTCGGGCCGACAGAGAAACACAGACCATACACAAATATTATAATTTGATCTATAAAAAGGCGTGATGGTTAGTTAGCTGAGTACCGATGCGCAGCTACGTAGCCATCGGTTAAAGGTGTCAATTTGTCGCCGCCCGTTGGCAAAAGAGGAAGACAAAGACCTAGAGAGTTTCGGGAATGAGAAATATGTTATATTATTTAAGGGAGCGGAAGAACCATAATGAGAAAGAAAGATAAAAATAAACCGTCAGAGAAGAAAGAGAGAATTACCAGAAAAAAAAAAAGTACAATAAAGAAATCTCTACACGCGTCTCAACACTAATCAAAGTTCCGTCAAGTCATAGACACATCAGGTGAATCTCGCTCACGAGTCCTCCGTGGCCTGTCCTCGTGAAGGCGGTTGTCTCCGCCTCGATGGTTGGAGGTCGTAGCGCAGACTTGGCTGGGAGCTGTGCATGGCAGTCCCAGGTGTCGGAGTCCGGCGAAGGTTCCGTCGACCAGACCGCTAGACTCAGCGTTCCGCTGACCGTGGCAGCTCTTGAGCGATCTGCAGGCCGACCGTCGCGGTCCGTGCTTCGCTTCCAATTCCCTGCTCGGTCGCGCGCTCCCCACCTCGTTCTCTTCCAAATCTTCTTCGTCTTCGATCGCGGCCGCGGCGCAATCATTGTCATGAGGATCGTGACATTTCCCCCAACTTTTAAAAACTTCATCTCATGAAGATTTCTGCACGTGACGACGTCGTTGATACATGGTCGTTGTCGCCATACACGCGCACACACATCACTTTCTTGCAGCACCCGCGCACGTGTTCGACCAGTATGCACAAAGTCAAAACAAATCGTTTTCCACGAAGTTCACACTTCCATAATTAACAAAAATACTTTTTTCATTTCCCCAGATACTTTTCAATCATTTCAAACCTTGTCCATACCACTAGAAGACTCACATTTGATCACTAAGTTTGCCAAAAACGCGTTTACTAAAATACAAAACGAGATCCCACTTCCTTTCTTGTTGAAACAAGAATCCTATCCTGACATCATACGAAACGTACGTTCACTGTTCACATTACTTAATCTGTTTCCACGTTCCGCGTCGTAAAAAGAAAGGAAACTCCACTTTAGACCTCAACGCGACTCATGAAGTCCGCTCCAACATTATCAGATCCCTTGATATATTCTACGTGGAAGTTCTGGTCTTGCATCCCCAGACTCCATTGCATCACGCGACTGTTAGCATGCTTCGCCCTGTTCAGAAATTCCAATGGTCGGTGATCGGTCTGAATTCGAAATTTACGTCCATGTAGAAACAGCCTAAATCTCTCGACGGCCCATACAATTGCCAAGCATTCTTTTTCTATGGTGGCATAATTCCTCTCTGGTTTGCTCAGCCTCCTGCTAGCTTATGCCACCGGGTGTACCAAGCCTTCGTTTTCCTGCAGCAATACCGCACCCAAACACGCATCAGACGCATCTGTACGTAAAACAAACTCCTTTTCGGGATCTGGTGCCAGTAAGATAGGCGACCGCGACAAGCACCTCTTCAACTCCTCAAATGCCTCCTCCTGGTCTTCACCCCACTCGACTTCATTTCGTGCTCCTTTCCTCGTGAGTTCCACCAGTGGAGCAGCAAGATCCGCGTAATTTGGTACAAACTCGCGGTAGTACCCAGATAATCCAAGAAATGACCTGACTTGGCGTTCGTCACTGGTCGCGGTGCATCTTGAATCCTTTCAAGGATCTCCGCGTTGGGCGCGATCCGTCCTCCTCCTAGCTCGTGCCCGAGGAAGACCGTCTCGGTGAACCCCACCTCACACTTCTTTGGTCGCGCCGTGATGTTAGCGGCTTGCAGACGATCGAAAACTGTTCTCAAAGTTTCCATGTGCTGTGCCAATGAGTCTGACGCTATCAGGATGTCATCAATATAGTGATGAGCGTCAGCGATTCCACCAAGTAGCTTCCTCATCAGTCTTGTAAAGATTGCCGAGGCAGTCTTAAGCCCGAACGGCATAAACCTGAATTGGTAGTGTCCACTTCCTGAAGAGAATGCAGTTTTCTCTTTGGCCGACTCCTCCAACGGGATTTGCCACTATCCCCTCGATAAGTCTAATTTCGAAAAGAACCTCTTTCGTCCCACGTTAGCAAAGGTGACATCAATCCTTGGGATAGGCTCCGCGTCTACCTTCAGCACGTCATTCAATCTTCGATAATCCACGCAAAATCTATTGGACCCGTCTTTCTTTTTAACGATCACGACCGGTGCATTGTAGGGTGACTTACACCGTTCGATAACTCCCAGTTGTAGCATCTCCGAGATCTCCTCTTCTACTACGTCTTGGACCGCAAAGGGCAACGCATATTGTCTCACCCGGACTGGTTCCTCAGTGGTCAGTTTCAGGTCACACGTTACCAAGTTGGTCTGGCCGGGTCGATCTGAAAAAAACCGACTGGTATTGTCCAATCAATCTCCATACCTCGTCCTTTTCCTTGTCCTGCAAGTCCTCGTTGACGACGACATCTTGCCAAGACTATTCGGTAGTGTTTCTTTCGGAAAGAGTCCTCTCGCTGAAGTCTTGCGTCGCCGCGCCGCAACTTGGCCGATTCATCCCGTACTCCGGCCTTTCTTCATATTTTTTTAACATATTCACGTGGAATAATTTCTTTCTTCCGCCCACATCAAGCTCGTAGTCGACTTCATTTCTCCTACTTGAGACTTCAAAGGGTCCCTTCCATTGCATGATCAGTTTATTGTGATCGCTTGGAAGCAGGATGAGAACCAAGTCCCCTGGTCTCAGTTGGCGGGTGACGGTCTTCTTGTCGTAGTATTTTTTGTACTTGCCCTTGGCTTCTTCCAAACAATGGTGAGCAAACTCGCATGTCCCTTCCAGTTTATTTCTCAATTCTAGGACATGGGTGTAGGTCGTCTTGAGGTCAGCTTTGAGAGACTCGTTAAACCATATCTCCTTGAGGATGGCCAAAGGTCCGCGCACGTTCCTCCCACAGAGCAACTCAAAAGGTCAGAACTTCAGGCTTGCTTGCGGGACTTCTCTGTAGGCAAACAGCAATGCCGGAAGGTACCTATCCCAGTCTTTGGGCCTTTCCTGACTCATTCGTTTCATCATCTGTTTGATGGTTCCGTTAAATCTCTCAACCAGTCCATTCGCCATCGGGTGGTACGGGGTGGTCAGTAGACGCTTCACCGAAAGAAGTTTGCTCACCTCCTTCATGAGGTCTGAGGTGAAGCAGGAGCCTCGATCTCTAAGGACCTCTGATGGAATGCCGTACCTGGCAAACATCTCTAAGAGCGCTTTTGCCACTTGCTCTGTCCCAATGTTCCTCAAGGGGACAGCGTCCGGGTACCTTGTGGCCATGTCCACCATCGTCAAAATATATCGGTTGCCCGAACTTGCTGTTGGTCTAATTGGCCCGATGATGTCCACTGCCACTCGCTTGAATGGTGTGTCGATTGTAGGCATGGTCCCCAGAGGTGCTTTGCCCACTCTTCCTTTTGGCACTGTTCGTTGGCAGACGTCGCATGAGCGAACATACCGCTTGATGTCGCTCTGAATTCCAGGCCAGAAGAACTCTTCTGTCGCCAATGCAAGCGTATTCTTCACACCTTGATGTCCAGACATGATGCCATCGTGGGCCATTGACAACACAGTTGGCCTGTATCTCGTTGGGAGCACTAATTGCTCAATGCTTCTCCCAGTGGGGAACACGCAGCTTCGGAAAAGCAAGTTGTTTCGAATCACCATGTCATATCTTGTCCGGCATTTTTGTTTCCTTATCACTTTTCCTACGTTGTCGAAGCACTTCTTCAGGGATGGGTCATTCCTCTGCTCCTTCGAGAGCTCCTCTGCTGTCGTTTTAAGGATTGGAACCTGTGGTACGTTCAAGGGTGCCTGTCCTCTATTGCTACCGTTCTTCGCCTGTCCAAGTCCGGCGACGTTGACATGTAGCATTGTAGAGTGGCTACTTGGGACGTGTCGTGATGAATCAGCTCTGTTCTTCTCGATTCTCTGTTCTTCCATGTCCTCGCAACCCAGATGCTCGGTCCGCGGTGGAATTTCGTTGCTGCTCTGTTGGTCGCAATTCCAGGCCGGGTCCGGCTCGTGTGCCTCTCTTGCCTGGGGGATGTTGCCGAGAACTAAATCGTGCAGTGGGTTGTCAATACATTTTGCGATAATTTTTCCAACGAAGAAAGGTGTATAAACAAAGATCTCAGCCTCTGGTAGGTATTTTACGGTTCGGTCAAGCAAAAATACAGTGCTCGATTTGCCAGTGTAGCACTCGACCGGGACTAGGCTCTTTTTCACAACTACGGTATTACAGCCAGTGTCCCGCAGCACTGTTACCTTCGGTTCCCCAACACGACCTTGAACTACAGGCATGTTATCCACCAAGAACTTGGGTGCTCGTCCAACAGCCGCATTTACAACTAGGATCCTGCCTCCATTCTTGAGGGTAATGTAGGAATCGTCCGGTTCCCCTTGCCTTTCATCCGATGCTGTCCATAGGCAAGAAACTTGTGTCTTATCCCCAGACCTCAGGTTGCATCTTTCAGCTTTATGCCCCGGCTTCCCACAGTGCCAACACGTAGGTGGTCTAGAGTATTTGCTTCGACTCTGGCAGTTCTCTGCCTTGTGCCCTATCTTGTTACACAAGAAACATCGGAGAGTTCTCTTTACATCCTCCTTGAGCGCGTTACCGGATGTCCTCATGCTGGCATTAAACTCACGTTCGTCTCCTTTCGCTTTTTCGTTGCTCGGTTGAACTTGCGCTTCTACAAATACGTCAGCCTTTCCTGCCAGATCGTCTAGCGTCGTGCAGTCCCTTTCTTTCAAGAAAACGGTTAGCTTGCTGGAACATGTTTTAATAAACTGTTCGATGAGCATCGTCTCTCGTAGCGCCACGAAGCTCTTCTCCACCTCAGCAACTACCAACCATCTATCAAAATATCCGGCCAACCTCGCCGCAAACTGTCGTCTAGTTTCTCCGTCTCCCGGTTTCGCATCACGAAATTTCTCACGATAACCTTCTTTGGTATATCGGAACCTCTGCAGCAGCGCGAGCTTCACCTTGGTGTACTCCATCGCGTCCGCAGGAGTCATGCGACCAACAACGCTCAATGCCTCTCCTGTTAGACATAAACTCAGGGTGGTTGCCCACTTCTCTTGTGGCCATTCTAGACCTGTCGCCGTACGCTCAAATCTTTGCAAATAAGCGTCGAGGTCGTCGCGCTTCTCGTTGTATTGCGGAATAAGCTTATGAGGGCTTGCCCGATGACTTGGTCCAGCTGATTTACTTCGGTCCCCCTCGTCTCGTGCCACGCGAGTTTCTCTTTCCTGAGCCGCGATTCGCAATTCTAATATCTCGCGTTCTTTGTCTAGTCTGATGGCTTCGGCCTGGCATGCGCGTTCTCTCGCTTGTTGTTCTTCTTTTGCCGCCTCGCGTGCCTGTGCTCGCTCTTCTCTCAAATAGTTCTTTTCTCGCTCGACCCAGTTCCTGAGCTCTTCACCAACGTACCCCAGCTCTTTTCCGGCCGCCATCAGCTCTCAGTTTCTACACTCCCGGAACTAGCCATGACAGTGCTCCCGCTCTCCCAAACAAGCGTGATGTAATAAGTGGGCTAATATCCTGGCAGGCTCGCCATTGTCGCCGCCCGTTGGCAAAAGAGGAAGACAAAGACCTAGAGAGTTTCGGGAATGAGAAATATGTTATATTATTTAAGGGAGCGGAAGAACCATAATGAGAAAGAAAGATAAAAATAAACCGTCAGAGAAGAAAGAGAGAATTACCAGAAAAAAAAAGTACAATAAAGAAATCTCTACACGCGTCTCAACAATAATCAAAGTTCCGTCAAGTCATAGACACATCAGGTGAATCTCGCTCACGAGTCCTCCGTGGCCTGTTCTCGTGAAGGCGGTTGTCTCCGCCTCGATGGTTGCAGGTCGTAGCGCAGACTTGGCTGGGAGCTGTGCATGGCAGTCCCAGGTGTCGGAGTCCGGCAAAGGTTCCGTCGACCAGACCGCTAGACTCAGCGTTCCGCTGACCGTGGCAGCTCTTGAGCGATCTGCAGGCCGACCGTCGCGGTCCGTGCTTCGCTTCCAATTCCCTGCTCGGTCGCGCGCTCCCCACCTCGTTCTCTTCCAAATCTTCTTCGTCTTGGATCGCGACCGCGGCGCAATCATTGTCATGAGGATCGTGACACAATTGTACGACGCCAAACGCTCCTTTGATATTGATAGTTTAAATGTTTCGAATGTTTCGATATAGGTCAGTTAATTTGAAATACACAATATATAAGCGATGCACTGTCTTTGTATTCTAGTGCATCGGAATAGGGGGACGTCTATGAAAGCCGCGCGTCATATCCCAGGAATTTCTATAGTCGGTTACAAGTCAAGAAGGTAGGAGAAGCTCCTCTCACAAGCGTAATGCGCCCGTTTAAATCTCTCCGCAGTCGAAAGAAGCGTTCACTGGAAACGTTCCTTGTTCCACATCAATGGATTCCAACTTGTCTCCGATCCCACTTTTTAAGAATGCGACCTTTGTATTCATTGGAGGGGGAACCGAGCCCCTGAAAGCAGCCTTTGTATTCATCGGAGGGGGAAGCTAATCCCCGAAAGTCGTATTTGTTTCGATCGGAGGGGGAAAACTCTAATCTCCCTCTTGTGGCTTCTACAATGCTAAGTCAAAGTCGAAAGATGAAGCAAATATGTACAGAAAAGCAAGACCCTCCTCGCGCGTTGGCCGTGACGTCACGGAAACGATGGGACGCTATTGGATGCGGAGGTGGCGGAGGGATATATGATTCCTTTTGAGGGGCATTTGCTGCTACCTTCTTAACCTGTAACCGGCTATAGTTCAGTCATCATCCTTGTCCATTTCGATCTATAGATGAAGTACGTGCGGAGACCCGCATTGTAAGCACATGACCACCCGCCAGCGCCATTGACTATGCTCAGAGTCAATATTTAAATTTTTGAAAGGAGCTTTGTTAACTATTGGTGCAAGGCATCAGCCGTTTGCACAAACTGTATTTCCCACTAAGAAAAAATATATAGAAAATCTTTTTCTTTAATATGATTACATCTAACGCGCCTATAAATGCACTGGTGTGGTTGGGGGTGGGACCCCATAACCCATGAGAAAATGCAAAGCAATTGTGTGAATTTAACAAAATTTCATTTTAGTTCATTTATCTTTGGAACATACACCTGCAGTTGCCAGTAGTTTACATACGCATGCATTCACTGTCAATTGGTTCGTATGGCACAGACCAGTGCGAGAATACTTGTATCACGCAGTACGCAATTTTTATGCACGGTACATGCATAGTGTTTCTCAGAAGCCCATGTAATTTAACTGGCTTCTAGAAGCACTCGGAAGCTCGCGATCTTGTCGAAGTAGTTGACGACGTCTTGGTACGTGGGAGCTTCACTGCTCATAAAGGACGAGAACGCATACATCTCGGCGTGTAGCAGGAGGTTTTGTTGACAACAGCGCTGGTGGATGGTATCGGTGCAATGGCTGCAAGCCACGTGACCAGAAAAGGCAGTGCGGAAACGACGGAAGCGAATCCAAAACAGTATTGTATTAAGTATTGCAATTACCTACTTGTTGCTTAATACATGGCTCACTGCGCCAGCAATCGCTTTGTTGGCCGAAGCATGCGAAACTAATCGTCGCGTTAAGTGTCAGTGTGTCGAATTCTCCGGACAATCACCGGACAAAAGCTCACAACTTTAGGACTTCACCTGCAGAAAGGCTTAACGGAAGGAACGTTGTATTTTATCACCGATTTTGATGTGAGGATCAAATATTTGTTTCCGGGTACCGAGAAGTCAAATCAGAAATGTCTAGAACTTTCACCCTCGTTTTGTAAAAAAAAATAAAAATAAAAAAACAGCTAAAATTTAGTGTAATTACACAAACTACGCCGACTTTACCTAACCATAATACTAACAATTTAACCAGGCGTTTTCTCCAATGCGGGGGTTTGATCTTTGCGCGACCAGGGACACCATTAAGGAAACCCGTATGCAACCCGTACAATACGGAAAGAAGACTGTGGCTGGGGATAAGCACGACTGACAATTCTTAGAACTCTCGTGGACCTCACATTTGTTTCCGCGCCATAGTTACGACGTTCTGGAAATAAAACGTGTGACCGATTGTCAATGCCCAACGAGTTTGGCCTTTGATCTTGTAGCAAAGCATGTGTGACCTTTTCACGTAATTTATTTATAATTATAAAAATTATGATTATATTTAAATGATGTTATGTATTTTTCGCAGGCTCTTTATTTCGCGATTTAGGTAAAAGCATTTTGGAATGATTCGCGGCCTATACTTTTCGCGACACGGTGAGATCTCAAGATAAATTCCAATGTGTTTACATTTTACAGGAATTGTTTGCGGGACCTATTTTTGGCGCATTGTAGGCGATTCGCGAAATTCGCGAAAATTAGGTCCTCGCGAAAATTAAGTCATTTACAAAATATAAAACGAACAATAAATGTATTGTCTTTAGGTGTTATGAACAGGGTGTCGAACCGGAACCGAACCGAACCGAAAACCGGAACAGAACCGTTATTTTTAGCCGAACCGGAACTGAACCGAACCGAAATCTTCGCCGCCATCTTGGAACTGAACCGGAACCTAACCGAAAAAAAATATAACGGTAACCGGTTCAAAACGGTTCAAGGTAATATTTTTTTTCTTCTTTGCTAGTATCACAAAATGAACATATGGGAATAAACAATTGGCGGCTGTATTTCTATCTGTTGATCAAATCGTCATATACATAGTTGCAACGCATGATAAATTGTGGGTTTTCATGGCACCTTTGTTGGCACTATGATTAACCATGTGTCAAGTTGTCACGTGACGTCATGGTGTCAATAAATGTTGTCAAGTAATGTCACGTGGCCTCGTGACGTCACGTAACTCACTGCGTTAAATCGATTTAATTTGAGGAAGTCATTAGATGTATTAACCTTGTTGACAGCATGACGTAACATGACATCACGATTTCGCACCGAGAGTCACGTGACACCGTGACGTAAGCGATTTTCATAACCCCTAGTCGAGTGCTCGGGTTCATGACAATCAGCATGGCCAAACATTCAGGTAACGGCTCATGTCAATTAGATATGATGATCAATAGCCCAACACTAACAATATCTGAAGCTCAGCCCAAGCTTTTGCTTTGCAAACCCTTGCAGCCTAGGGCATGACTGTGGTGAACACTGGCGGTATGTAATTAGGGTCAGATCAGGTGGCCGCTTGTTTAAATTGCGAGTTGAGGAGATATCGACAGCTGTCTCTGTCCTTTATTTTTTCTGCTTCTGTTATTAGGGGAAAACTAATGGATGTTTCCGCAACCTATCAACGTCACGGGTTATTTCTTAACACTATTTATTGAAAGTACAAAAAAAATGTTGCAAGGCCAATTTACATTATTGAGGCATTGAAACATTTTTTCGTCGTTGTTGAAGTATATCCGAAAGATGTCCCTGAGAATGGAAGTTTTGAAATGACTAAATGCGACCTATTAATATGACGTTACATAGAACTACACGTGTGTACGGAAGGAATACCTAAAAAAAGAAGATATTTTAGTGACGTGAGAGGAACAGCCGAACGTTGGCAGTCGCTTAAGTCTCACACGAGCGTCGTTCTCAAGTTATTGCCCAAGTTTCGACCCATCTGTATTTTGTTTAAATGAGCTATAACATATATTTCTATACATTACTAAATACTACTCAGGATCAGTCCCTAACGTTAATAACTGATTGAACTTGGCTTTGCTCTTTTTTCTAGGCAAAGGTGGTCGCCGAAAAAATTAGAGAAATATGAGCCTCGTTCATCCCCTCAACTCGGAGCCAGAAGCGGCCACGTGGCCTGGAGCCTATCTTATGCCGCCAACGTTGATCATACCCCCGCGCTGGGGTTTGAAAGGAGGAAAGCGCGTGCTGGAGCTCCAGGCATTGTTAGAGTTCGACTATTCTCATCACCACAGTGGTTGGACACGAGCCACTACCCAAGTGTCCGCTGAGGCAATGATTGTTACGAGCCGATGTACGGT